GACCCTCGCGTCTCCCAGTCTGAAAGAAGAGAGGAGAAGAAGCCCATAGTGTCTATGACTCCACAGTATAAGCCTCACGGGGTAAGAATTCTTCCGTCTACTCGATTCTACACGCGTATACTTAGAGACAATTTGGTAATTTACCTACGGCTTTTAGCTTTTTATTATAAAAAAATTGAAGATATAATAAAATAATTTTTTTATTTTTAACGTGGCATATTAAAATAAAAAATTAATTTGAATGTTTGAAAAAATAAAAAAAAAATCTAAAGAAATTTATTCCAGCCACTCCCAAACGGTGCCGAGGAAAACGATTCTTTGAACGTGTTTGCTTTTCTTTGCCCATCCGAACTCGTTGACCATGTGTACTAATCTTCACTCTAGGTGTTTTTAACAGGAAAATCTTTCTGTTTTTTTATTTTTTATTTATATTTTTTTCAGTCGTGCAATAAAGACGCGTTTGGTGTCAATTTTTTTTAATAGAATTTGTTATCATTTGATTAAACAAGACACGCTTACGGTTACATTGTTGTTGCCGCTGATGTTGTCGAAGGAAACGGTGCCGAGTCGCTCTGATCAAGGCACTGCTAATTTTTGTATTTAGATCCTTAGAAATGTGTTTGGTACATCAAACAAAAAAAAAATATTAAGCTGTTATATTCTTAGTATTTTATAATGATTTTAATATATTAATGTTAAAAAAAATCTAAATTTGTTTTAATATATTTTTAAATAGATAACATTTTTAAAAAATTAATCTACATTAAAATACCAAACACTTATTAAAAAAAAAAAAACTTGACATTTCGCTTAGCCATTCAATCTTCAGTTCAAATTTAATCTTCCACCTTTATCTATATTCATCGATATTCCATTTATATTCCTATAATAATTTAAAAAAATTAAATGTTACTCTTGTAATTTTTTAAAAGATTAAATTTTATCCTTTACGTATTTTATGTTTTCCCATTTGCTATCAAATCCCTAAAAATGTTACAAGCCTTGTAGAAACACTTGTTCTTTTTTCCTTTCATTTGTTTGTCCAATAAGACTACACAGAATCTACCGAGAACTATTAGGCCAGGCTCGCTCGTGTGCTCTAAAAAAATACAAGAAAAAAAAAACCATACACAAAATTCAAAACATGGCTATTTAATTGTTATGGGAAAAGTTGAGACTTTTTGAAAATTAAAAATGGTGATATTGGAAATCTGAAACTTTATGTAGAGATAGAAGTGAAACTCCGATGAAATCCATAGGAGCAGCAACAATAAAACCATATCAATGATTACGATTAAGATGCTAGATCACTGGGAACAATGATCTAAACCCAGGAGCAGTCAAGGGCTTGGTCTAGTGGTAGAAAAGGCTTGTCTTCTTTCACTGCACCTGAGTTCGAGCCCTGGCATGTATGTCTGTTATCCCCGCGGTGCCTTACATGGATTTGTAGGGTATTCAGTGGGCCGTGGGGATTAGTCGTGGTGCACGCAAGCTGACCCGAACACCCCACGTAAATCAAAAAAAAAAAAAGAGGATCTAGAACCAGGAGACTCGAGATCTCAGTTTTATTTTTATTTTTATTTTTTGATGCATTTATTCTTCTTTCTCTTTCGTAAATTGAGAGTGTTGTGTGATTACCATGTATATTAATATGTATTAGTCGCATGCATGTTTGACAAGAAACAATGTTTGTAATAAAAATAGAAATGCTATTGTGTTTTTCAGTCTTTTCTCTGGCTGGATAAAACTTAAGCCTAATCTGCTAGTAAGATCTCCTAATCTGCTAGTAAGATCTTGACCATAAATATGTGCATCCAACTCTATCTTAAATATTTTATTTGAAAATATAAATATGGTTATTTTTTAAAAATATTTTTATTTTTATTTAGAACTGCTGCCCTAACTTCAATGTTTTTTTTGTGGTACGGTGAGCGGCGGTGCTTCGTTGTCTTGGAAGTGTGAAAAATTGCATCCCAAATCCAAATAAAAAGCGGAAAGACTGCACCTTTCTAAGGTCACAAATAAATGATTTGCGGTCAAAAAGGCACCCCAGGTTTCAGGGGGGTAAAAACAATATATAGACTAAGAATTTAAATTAGATGAAAACATGCTTCATAAACATATATCATATTAACATATTGATTCATGATAAACAATTTCACTTGGATGATTTATAAAATTATGTTTTTTTTGTTGTTATATTGACAAATAATTATAAAACTCTACTTTACAAAAAAAAATAACTGATTTATAAAGTAAAATTGAATAACAAATATGTTCAGACTTATCTAATGTATTTCGAAAAAAAACAACATATTATTAATTTTTTATATAAAAATATTTTTTTTAGAAAAATATATACTTATAAAAACAAGACTTGGATAAATAACTGTTGATTTAAAACAACATTACGAACTTAAAATCTATAATTTTGAATTCAAAAGTTCTATCCAAAAGTCCTGATCATTTTAATCGTGTGTGGTATTTTATGTAAATAAAAACTCTGAAATTAAAAAAAGTACATCTAAACTTGTGGTCAATTATAAATCTCTAAATTCTATTTTAAAATGGATTAGATATGCAATCTTTAATAAAAAAGATTTATTACAAAAATTACTTTATGTATTTATATTTTATAAATTTGATTTGAAATCTTGATTTTGGCAAGTTTAGATTGATTTCAAGGATCGATATAAAACTGCATTTACTGTTTTTTTTTTTTATCAATAGGAATGGACTGTCATGCCCTCTAGCTTGAAAAATACACAATCTAAATTCTAACATATCATTAATGATATCTTCAATGCACATTCAAAATTCCGTATCATTTATATTGATAATATTCTTATTTTTTTTATTTTATAAATCAACATTTCGAACATCCACATATATTTTTTTACACTGCAAAAGAAATAATTTGATTATTTCTGAATAAAAATTTTTCTATTTCAAACTCATGCCCTATCTTATTTAGTGTTATAATAATAATTATTTTTTAAAATATTTTTAATTTTAAAATATTTAAAAAATATATTTTTAAAACATAAAAATAATCATTCTATAAAGTGATGCTTGAAGATTGCCCAGCAGCAACTTAGATGACCGGTGAAATTAAATGACAAAGAGAGAGAGAGAGAGAGAGAGCAACGAAAAGGAGGCTTTAGGGGACAAGGGTCTCGAACAGCTAGATGACGCGTAAGCCCCCACCTTTTCCGGTTCCATCCCTGTCAATTACAGCTAAATTTTATTTATGTCCCCATGGTTAACCAATATTTCGTTTCTACCCCTATATAAATCTTGCCATTTTAGTCCCCACAGAATTCTATCTCTACCCCTGTCTGTTGATGTAACATTTTCAAGAAGCCACTGACAAAAATAAATCAATTTTTTAAGGTGAACGAGCTGCCTGTCCTTTTGACTTATGAATCCATCCACAACGAGTCCTACACACCTGTCTTGCAATGAAATTTCAATACATCACTGAGTTTATTTACCAATAATAAATCAATGGTCTCAAAACAAATTATTTTATTTTAAATTTATTGTAGCTGATAAGATATAGCTCTATTGATATTAGTCACTGAGATAAGGTGAAATGTTTTTATTTTTATAAATAAGTCATAAATTAACTGATATCAATGTATCCTCGATAACTATTTTCAATTTATCAGTCCCAGATAAAATAAAAAAATGCACTCTCATGCACGTGAGTATATATTGTCGAATAATAATGCCAGAGGTAACGGGAGTTTCTTTTCACTTTTCGATCAAAAAGCTCTCACGAACACAATGTAATTTTTTTTTTGGGTGTGACCTGATAAGTTTAAAAATTTAAATAGTTTAAAAATAAAATTTTTAAGTTGAATAATTAATTAATTTATATTTATTTTTAATTAAAAAAATTAATAATTTGTATCTAGTGTTTAATATGCCAATATGATTTCTGATTAATATCTATAAAATATTTAATTTTGATAATTTTTTCATGTTTAAATAAGTATTTGTTTAGAAAAAATATAATAATATTATGAGAGAAAATATAATTATATTTTAAAAAAATATTTTAAAAATATTCACGAAATAAAAAATAAAAACTGAAATCTTTGCTATGAATATTTTATACTGTGTTTATAACTTATAAGTATTTTTTAATAAAAAAATAAACTATAATATAATTTTACTTTTGTAATATTTTGAGTTATATTATATATTTCATTTTTTTTATTTGGTTAAAAAGTAATGATATGGATGATTATAAAATACTTTAATACTGGTCTTGATAAAATATAGACTTATCTAATTATAAAAATTTATAAAATTAATAATGTTAACCTTAATTATTTTCTAGGTCTAACCAACATCAAATCCAGCGCACCTTTTTCACGCGCTTGTATTTGAAAAAAATATTCTCATAATTCTTTCTTGAATAAGCTTTTTTTTTTTTAAGACAAACATTCTAATCAGTAATAAATTTTTTTTAAAATAGTTCTTTCAGAGGAAGCACCCCTTTTTTTGACTTTTCTTTCTCCCCAAATATACATATAAAGAAAAAGAAACAATAACAATAATAATTGATACATAAAATCAAAGGTTGGAACAGAGAGAGATTCCTTCCTTAAAAAAAATGATGTTCTGTATTAAGAAAATTCAACATTCACGGCAATGATACATACCGTCGGCCTAGAATAAAATATTCTATGTACCTTACATGGGATGTTACCGTTAATTAGGCTAAACTAGACTCACCACAGCCATGAAACAGGGAAGGTGAACAACTTTCTTTTTTGGGGAAGCTCTCTCTCTCTCTCTCTAGTCCCTCTATGGTGATGGAGGGGGTGGGGGGGGGGAGAGCGCTAAATTTTGTGTGTTTCTGGGCTAAGAAGCAGCAGTGAATAGGAAACACGATTTCTGTATTTATCAGTAACTCTAGTCAATAGTGAATACTGTATAGCCGTTTTGTGTAAAATGCTTTGGAAATTCCGGCCGTTAAAGAAAAAACACAGACAAATTAAAAAGCTTGGTTGTGTGATGCTGCAATGTAAGACTTTACAGTTAATTGTACTAAAAAAATAAAACCCACCCAACTTGAACTGAGGCAATAACCTTCTCGCCCCCAAGATTCCCTCATTGTTTCCATTATGCCCTTCCAGTCCATCATCAAAGCAAAGGTCTCAACTCTCTCTCTCCTCCTCCTCCTCCTTCTATTCTCTCTCCTCCCGTTAAAAGTCTGACCTTTGAAAACAAAACAAAGGCCATGTTTGGAGAGAAAGATCGTCGTGTCTCTAATGGCGAGGCTGAGCCTGAGAGGTCTCTAAACCAAGGGAACCCAGGAGAGAAGATGAGTGGTTTGTCTCAAAAGGGAATTGATTTTCTCAGAGAATCAAAGATAGGTTTCGATGGGTTTGGCTTAAAACCCCAAGAACTTACTCTCAGCTACCTCTGTGAAAACAACCACAATAATTCGAAACTGGGTTTTTCTCTCAAGGGAAAAGAAGTTATCTTTTCAGATAATTCAAACCAAGATGAGAAATGGGTTGAGAGGGATTTCTTGAATCTGAGTGAAACCAAATCTAATTCTTCTTCCAAACGACAAGTTCCCCGTGAAGAAGGTGAAGAAGTTGAAGAGAATTCCTCAAGAGACAAGAAACCAAAGCTAGAGAGTACTTTAAATCTTTCTCTAGCTTTGCCTGAGGTGTCTCTCTCTCTAACTGCATCCAATGCATTGCAAAATGTTGATCCTTTGATGGGGCGAAATCGACATGAGTTATTGGGTGCGGAAGCAGCAAAAGTAACACTATCGAACAACAACACACAAACAACATGTTCTAATGATTTCACTGCCGCTTCACTTTCATATTCGTATTCACATCAGTTTTCACATAATCCTAGTTGTTCTATGACTCGCAATTCAACCGAGAATTACGAGTATTCTGTAGGGAGAGATGATCAAATTTGGTGTGGAGGGGAAGGGACTAATGGATCGGTTCATAGCCGGTTTAGGCCTATTGGAGACGGGATTGTTGCTCTGAACAATAACAATCATGGTGGTGGTGGTTCTGTGATGCAAGGTAATTGTGCAACGAATAAGGACTCGTGCAATAATAGTCTCTATAAGACTACCAGTTCAGATAATCTTTCATTTTTTCCATCTGAATTGCCGGCTAGGCCTCGCCTAGATGCGTATTCAGGTGATTCTAGGAGAAGGGATTCGGAGAATTTGAGAGGTTTGGAGAGTGGAGATGCAGAAGGTAGAGCAAAAAAGCTTTCTAGACCGGGGAGAATTCTCCGTCAGATTGTTTCTGAGACTATTCCTGTTATGGCTCAGATCATTCAGGAGGTAGCCGAAGAAACATTGGAATCCACCAAGGAGTACTTGAAGAATCTTATCGGCATGCCTGAAAAGAGAGACGAGTTAGTTGGCCTTCAAAACTGGCTTGAAAGAAGGTCTGATCTTACCAAGGAGACTCTCTTAAAGTGCCAAAAGGACCAGTTGGAAATTTTAGTTGCGGTCAAAACGGGGCATGGAAGTTTTGTTTCTGGGAAAGTTCGGCTTCCTACAAACGAGTTGGTGGAAATATTCTTGTTTTTGAGGTGTAGGAATGTGAATTGCAAGAGCATATTGCCTGTGGATGATTGTGACTGTAAGTTTTGCTCAGGGAATAAGGGATTTTGCAGCTCATGTATGTGCCCTGTCTGTATGAATTTTGACTGTGCTAGCAATACTTGCAGTTGGGTTGGCTGTGACGTTTGCTCTCATTGGTGTCATGCTGCCTGTGGCATACAAAAGAATCTCATTAGACCTGGTCCTAGCTTGAAGGGTCCATCAGGGACTAGTGAGATGCAATTTCACTGCATTGGATGCAATCATGCTTCGGAGATGTTCGGTTTTGTCAAGGATGTGTTTGTGTGCTGTGCAAAGGATTGGGGACTAGAAACTCTGATAAAGGAGCTTGATTGTGTTGCGAAGATTTTCAAGGGAAGTCAGGATTTCAAAGGCAAGGAGTTGAATACCAAAGCTGAGGACTTGCTTTCCAAGCTTGAAAGAAAAATGATGTCTTCTAAAGATGCCTGTATTGCCATTATTCAGTTCTTTACCTGTAAGTTTTCTAACTTTGAACTCCTGCTTTTTCTATGCAATTTATGCGCTATTTCTTGTCATTAGTTAAATCGTTAGATGGTTGAACTATCCAAGTGAATGTGTTGGTGAAAATCTGAATTCTTCTGTCACAAGGCTATCGTTTGAAGCCTGAAAGAATTTCTAGAAAAAAAAAAGATTTCTCTGTATGGACAGAGCTTTGTTGATTAAAGTTTGCATGTTCTTTTCTGGTCACTGATGTCGTTTCTTTTAAGCTGTAACCTTTATCCTTTTTCTCCAAATAAATTTCCTTACACAAATAAATTAATCTGTTGGAGCTCAAATAAATGCCTACAAGGGTTGAGCTAAATTTTATTGAAGGTTATGTGATAAGTTGTGCATAGGTCATTTTATATTTATATGTGTGAATAATTCTGCTGGTTTCTTCACCCTAAACAATTCTTTTATAGTAAGTATGTTGAGTGTTTGGCATGACTTTTGATGGTTTTCTTCTAAGCTCTGACTCTTGAAGATGGGACATGCCCAAAAACCTGAGGCCAAGGGCATAGAAGTTAAGATCATAAAAGACTCTAAAAGTGCAATTAACACATTTTGACTCTGAATAAGGAGTTAAAAGCTATGGGTACAAAGAAGAGAAGTTGTTTGGAGGAGAAGCCATAGTTATCTGAAAACTTGGCTTGCAATAATAAAAGTACATAACAATTAAAACATATTGACTCTAAAATTGCAATTAAGACATAGTTATCTGTGTACTTAGGCTTCTCCAAGCTCTATGTCACACATGAAACGTGGTCGATTCATTATTGCAAGCCAAGCTTGAGTGCCAATCTGAAAATTGTGCTGGTTTTTTTTTGGCTGCAACTGAACAAAGTTGTTTGGAGGTGTGATAAAATCTCTTTTAGGTTCATTTAATTTTATTATTGCTTATGCGCGAGCATAATTGGAGAGGGTTTTACTTAACAAGATGAATTCAAACATGTTCGATTTCATTTTTGAAGAGCTCAATAGATTCATGTTTAGGCTTGTGAACAGAGTCATTATTGGTGTAACATGTTCTTTAAGCCCTTTGATGGTGCTGTAAATTTGATAGTTTTATCTCTGATCAATTGTGGCTGTATAATGGACCTGAGGTATATATGATGGACTCTTGGGACTAGAGTTTGGTTATCTTGCATTAGAAAATCAATTTGAAGTGGTTGAGCTTGTTTGTAATCTTTTTTACAGAACGGTGACCAATTTGTCAGTCTGTTTACTTGATTATTTTAGATTTTTGTAGAAGACAATTTTAGATAATGCAGATAGAAACAAAGATAGTAGATCTTTTTCACCTGCACCGCAGGTCATGACAAAAGGTTTCTGGAGAAGAATTTGATATTGGGGAAAATTTACAATGCTTTAGAGACACCAGGCTAAAGAGAGCTGAAGAACAACAATCATTCAGTATGTTAAGGATTGCATTGGTTTGCCTATTAGTGAGAGTATTCAGGCTACAGTTGATAGACCGCATAATCCTTCAAAATATCTTTGCATCAAATACATGTTGAAGGTTTACTTGGTCCTTCCATACATATTACTATTAGCAAACAACTCTAGGGACAACATTAACAGCTCTTCCAATAGCTTTTTTTCCTTTATGAATTATCTAAATCTGTAATTTGTCTGAAACTTTTAGTTTTTTAAAAACTTGATTTACAAAATGGCCTAGGTTATTTCTTTAATTTATGATGCCTGGTTTCTTATATCTGGGTGATTACATGCAATAGTTACCATCTAAAAGTGGATCAATTCAAACACAAGCTCTCATTTCTTGAGGTTTGCAGTTTTGAGCAATGAAGGTCTAGGTCGTGCAGTATGTGTGCTTATCCTTTCAAAAGTATGTAGTGGTAGAGAATTTTGGTTACAAGTAACTTGCCTAATAATATGCCTTCTGATGTGGGATTGGTGGCCATGATGCACTGCCTTTTTTGATTGCTCTGAACCTCGATGGAGCAAGTCAAATGTTCATGTGATGTCCCGCACCTCGCTTGTGCTGATGTTGTTTCTCATAACCAGGAGATGTCATATCCTTGACTGCTTGCGCTGGACTGTAATATAAATGGGATTTTAGCATGTTTGTTCAATGTTTATTTCCTTAATGTATATGAAGGGGACAAATCAAAGCAAAATCATTTTTTTAAAAAAAAAAAAAAAGAGGAAAGAAAAGTCCCTTCTTTTACAGCATTAATCAACATTTGCTATCTCTAGATTGTGAACTTCAACTTCTTTAATTTTCATGGTTATTTAGTTATTTCTTCAGAAATTCAAATTGTATAATGTAACTTCTTTGGGGATTTTAGATGCAGATAGTATGTCAGATTTTCCTGCTTCCGGTGTTTCTGTGAAGGAATTGATGCCAACAGAAGCTAGCCTTAGAAAAGATGCAGTCCCCATGCTGTCAGCACCTTCTATTCCTCCAAAATATACCATTGACAACATGGGCTCTTCAAGTGGAAGACGTGATTCACTACCAAATGATCTACTCCGGAATAACATCAAAGCTGCCCTCCATGATGACCTAAAAATTGGAAGTGAGTTTAAGTTTGGGAAGTTACCGAAGAATGATGGATTTGATAGCTTAGAAAGCGTTGTGCGGATCAAAGAAGCAGAAGCAAGAATGTTCCAGAGCAAGGCAGATGAAGCGCGGAGGGAGGCTGAAGGTTACAGGCAGATGATTCGGGCCACGTCTGATAAGTTAGAAGAAGAATATGCGGAGAAGCTGGCAAAACTGAGTTTGCAAGAGACGGGAGAAAGACGAAGGAAGAAACTGGAAGAACTGAAGGCTTTGGAAAATACCCATTGTGATTACTATAAGATGAAGCTGAGAATGCAAGCAGAGATTGATGGTTTATTGGAGAGAATGGAAGCCACAAAGCAACAATGGGTGTAATCTATTCCTTTTTATTTATAATTTTGCTGACAGATGATGCTTAATAGTGTGCAATTGTCTTGTATCTTTGCCATTTTGGGCTTCGAATGTGTGTCCTTCAAATGCAGAATGCACGACTTTCCTTCCTAGCCATGAAACTGGGGAGCTTGAAAGCTCATTGCTTTAATAGAAAAGGAAGGAACAGAAACAGCGAGATTTTATCTTGTAGTATATTTCAGGTTGTTTGATACTGTTTGATATTCTTGGTGGCCGTCTAAAACTGGTAAATACATGGCAGGATCAGGCCTCAGAGGGCGACTGTTGTTTCTGCTTTTGACCCTGAACTCGATGGTATCCATCCAATATAACTAATGAATTCATGTCTGTCCATATCAGTTGATTTGCCAATATTTCGACTATTAAACTATAATCGTCGAAGAGAGATATAGTTGGGATTATAGTTTTCAAAGATATTGCTAGCACTGGTTGATGCAGCCGTGAAGATTTGTACTCTATAATGTATATATTATATGATTCTGCAGATAATATATGAAATGTATTCTATGTGACAAGACAGGAATAGCACAATCGTATGATGCTGGGACCATTAATTATGGATGCCCGGAAAGGAATTATGATGCCGGCACCATTAATAAAAACCGGTCACGGTGGGTTGTGGGAGCAAATACATGAACCATTGATTCGCTGGGGTGTCAATTTTTACTTTTGACATTAAAGATTTCATCGGGCCCACTAGTGGTACCATAACCATTAAACCTTAATTAATTGCTCAATTGACACCGGATATCAATCAAAAGAAGTGCTTCAAAGTTGGGAATCGATGGTGCAAGTCCAGCCAACCCGCTCTTGTTAATGCGGTGGTGATCGTGATCGTGATCGTGCATCCATAGTCATGTATAATTATTGTCTCACAAAAATAAAATAAAATAAGTAAAAGTAATACTCGTTGTTCAGTGAGGTTAGTGAGAAAGTTTGTTCTCTTTATTATTATTATTATTATTATTATTATCCAAGAACCTTTAAATAAATTAATTAGTTTTAATGTGTAAGAATTAAGTGGAATGCCTCGCTTTCAAAAAAAAAAAAAAGATGTGTTAGAGCCCCACTTTTTTTTTTTTAGATTAACGTGGGTGTCCGGACCAACTTGCACGTATCATGACTAATCCTATAAGTGCTGAAGTTAACGACCATGTAAACTTCCAATAGTTATCATATAAATAACTAAGAATTCGAAGATATAAACAATTAAGGATTCGAAGATTGAGAGAGCCCCACTCTTATTTGTAGTTGAAGAGAACAAATTAAATGTTAAAACCCCATCATGGGTATGGAAAAAATCTAGTGCTTTTATTTGATGTTATTAATAATATCCTCGTGGAAGGACACACCCAACACTGACCGCAGATAGAACAGGCAAGAGCCAAGTGAAATTAATTATTAAGGAATAGCCTGTCAAACATCACCGATTATTAAAAATGTATATAATTATGAATTTTATAAATTTTAAAATTAATTAAAATATACATAAAAATTTCAACATTCACCAGTAATTTTTTTAAAAAAAAAGTACAGTTAAATTGACGAGACTTTTTCCAGGAAACCCTTCTGGACAGTGCACATAGCGAGGAAAAAGATGGCCAAGCCACCAAAGACGTGCCATGGCCTGTATGTGCCTCTTGCTGACCTTTCTGCACCTGGGAACACAAATGAGAAGAACCCCGGCATCCGATTGTGTGTTAACCAGTGATCAGAACACTCAAAAAATCGATGATGCTGCTAATTAAACTAGCCTATGACACAGTAACATTTGGGATTGTCCGAAAAAACAAACGGCTTTTCTTGTCGTAACAAGAAAGAAAGATTTACCTGTAAACCAAATAGGCAGAAGGTGATCAGGCCGAGCCAGGAACGTAAACTAGCCATGTCTTGATCACCCACCTCGTGATTAAACCTGAAAGCTTTTATCTTGGTGTTTTTGTAGTTTCTAAAAATTTTTACCCTTGTAGGTTCTTCACAAATTCAATTTTCCCTTGACTAGATTTCTTCATGTTTTTATCTTCGTGTTTGTATCTCACATTTTCCTCTCAAGTCCCCATAAATACTGACAACATTTCTTTAAAAGAAATAAATTAGAAAAATAAAGTAAATTAAAAAAACAAATTAAAAAGTTGGTCATTTAGAGTTTTTTTAGAAGTATAGTTATGATTATTTTTTAAAATGTTTTTAGAGTTGAAATGCATTAAAATATTTTTTTATTTTTTAAAAATTATTTTTAAAATCAGTATATTAAAACGATCCAAAAATTATAAAAAAATTATTTTTAATAAAAAAAATTTTTTTTTAAAATTATAATTTATACTGTATTTCCAAACAACAGGGGTAACATTGGAACATTTTTAGGACAGTAAGGATAACATGGAGAAATTAAAAAAGAAAAGGATAGAAGTGGAAAAGCCGATGGAAGATGGTCCAGGTTCAAATGTTGTTGACTAATCCTGCAAAGTGCAAAGTTTCCTGGCTCTATTCAATTCTTTGCTTTTGTCAATGGAATTTGAATTTATTAGGTTAGTGGTTATGTGATCAAACAAGGCATCGTGCTGTCGAGACTTGAAATATATACTGAGCAAAAGACGAGTTCGAGATAGAAGTTGACCTCAACGGACGGGTTGGCCTAAGGTTAAAGAGATGTGCTCATTTCATTTACTTTTTAAAAAAATTAAATTTAGAGTCAGGGTTTAAAAAAATTATTAAATTATTTTAAGCATACCATATTAATGTGTGAATATATTTTTAAAACTATTCAACAAAATATTTAATTTTGAATATTGACATATATATAACCTAGTCTGAAAATAACCTCACAATAAATAAAATAAATAGAAGAAGTTGCTTTAAAAAATGCCTCCATATGAAATTAATAAAATCGTTTAACTTGGAAGTTTAATTTCAATGCACATTTTTTATTCTCTATTTTAGCTGATAAAAAACATGTAATTAGTTAATGCCCGTTATATTTATTATACTTCAAATACTATAACCATAAATTTACTCAACACGCACCATATAACGAGGTAATTTCCATAGTTATTTGAAGGAATTATAATTATAGTGATTTTAAATTATAAAATATAAAATATGTTTATTTATTATATTATAATAATTTATCTTATCACTCAGTTACGTGATTGATTTTTATTTATTATATTATAATAATTTATATTATCACTCAGTTACGTGATTAATTATCTCGTAAATATTATGCTAGTTATTACAATTAGTGTAGATCATGTTCTTACCTTAAAAAGAAATTATATATAAAAAATTGATTATAATCTCACATAAAAGTTCTTTGTGAAATCAGATCGAGAAGAAAAATAACATCATTTAAGAAATTATTTTTCAGTCCTTACAAATTAATAAATATATCTACACTTATGACGCTATAAATACTATTTTATTATTCTGTAAAATAAATTAATAAATATATCTACACTTATGACGTTATAAATACTATTTTATTATTCTGTAAACTTAAAAAAAATGTCTTGAAGAAGGCCCGAATGATTGGTGGGCCAGTTGAAGAAGAAAAGGAAATTAAATGGTAGGTTTCACCGTCAGCATAATTGGATGAAAGTTAGGAGCCCGCGATAAAGGCAGAGTAAGCCCAACAAGGGACTTTAAGTTCAGATGAAAGTTAGGAGCCCGCGATAAAGGCAAAGCAAGCCCAACAAGGGATTTTTAGTTTGTAACTTGTCTGGAATGAAAGGAACAAGCAACTACCGAAAGACATGGCCACGTGGGCCGAGATTCCGAAATTATTAATAAGAAAATATCAATACATTGTAAGCAACCCCATCACTAGCTTGCTTTCAACGAATCAAGATATAAAATTTTAATATATTCATACCCACACGCGGATAAAAAAGAAGATCACAAACCAATCACAAATAAAAAAATAAACGGTGAAAGACCAGAGAGGCAGAGTACAGAAAAGTCACACATAACGGGCAAGAGCAACCGAGAGATCAACGAATATGCCAAAGAGAAGGACAAAGAGTCCAGTGAAGTTAATCAAACGAGACTCCCTGTGATTCTTTAGATCGAGGAATGTAGATTTCTCCATCAACCCAGTTAGGGCTGCACATATCGCCATGTATAACAGTGCCCTTCCCCCACTTACGTGCCATGGAAGCATACTTGCCCTTGTACCTGCCGCAGCTTTTGGAAACATGAACGCAGCGAAGCCCATAACCCACTGCACGGCGACCCAAGTTCAATTATATAGCAGCAAGAGTCACAACTTTGCATAAAGATAGATTTATTTGGTAAACAAGCTCAGACATGAAGTTAGGCAACATAACCTTTCTTGTGTTTGTGACAGATAGAAGGTCATGTCTCTTATGTGTCTAACTTGGTTGGTTGGCATCAAAATTACTGTCGTTAAATAAGCAGTTAAAAAAAGAGCTAAATTGCAGCGCTAAAAAGTATAAATACTTGATTGAACGTTTATGAAAAATCCACCCCTTCGTTGACTCATCACAATATCCCAGCCATGAAATTACCTCAATGGTGTCTGGACGGTAATGATCCCAACGTCGAGGCTACTGGGATTTTTAAGAAAAAGTTATGTTCAATCCCTATATTTCTTAAAATCGCAATATGGTCCCTTTTTTTTATCAAACTAATTAATGTGTGCGAGTTATTGATTGAGGCTACGTCATCGACATGTTGTCATTTTGGTGTCAATTGACAAAGTTTGAAACAAAGAGGGTGAAAATGACCAATTTCCACATACACAGGGGGCAAATGGGATGGTTTTGCCTAGATTTAATCAATTCGAAGAAAGACAATGAAAGAATTCTTTATCATCACTAGTTAAAGGCTATGGTTAAGTGAGTTGTTTACGCACCTGCAAGCAAAATAAGCAGAAGGTGACTAAGCCAATCCATGAATGCAAGCTATAAACATCCTCGGCATGGATCATATCATGGTACTTGAAAACAGCACATATGCCAACAATACCAAGACATAAGGCGATCAGATGAAGCAGCATGTGGATCGATTTCTTTACGATGCGTTGCGATAATACTGTTTTGTATGCCATCATAGCTGCTCGCAACACCAACATACATTTATATAAGAAATTAGGAAGCTGTAAAAAGTAATTAAATGGACGAGACAGGAGAAAATTACTATATGTGTGTACGCATACGTAAGAATCCCAAAA